ACTATAAGTATATATTTTGTTTTTAATATCAACAATTAATTCATATTTCTTTGGTATTTATTTGATTTGAAGTAGTTATGAAAAATTTTTTTATTGAAGGTGTAACTTGGTCGACTAACTTCAATTCGACATATAGGCACAGTCTACAATGTTATATATAATAAAAACAAATTATTTTTTCATCATATTTTCAAAAAAAATAATTGAATATTCTTCTTCCAGATGATTAATCAACTTCAGCTGAAGTATTCATAGTGATTCTTGTAAAGTCATTATTCTTATGAGATCTGTTTATTGAATTTAGAGTTGAGAAAAATTTTACTTTTGCTATCAAACTACAAAAATAATCGTTTTTCTCTTCTTCAGTGAACAAATATTTTCTTTTATTGAGAAATAACTTCATATTACATTGTCTCTTCCTATTACAATAATCTTCAGAACATCAGAATTTTATTATTTTTATCAAATGTCTCAATCATGTTCTATAATCAATTGCACCCGAACATCACGTGGATTGTGCGATTGCTGTCAACAATACCTTTGCTTACAACATTTAACGGAACATAATGATTTACTCATTTCTCAACTGAACCCTTTAACCGATGAAATTAATACGCTTGCTGATCGGCTTAGCAGACTAAACGTTCAAAAAATAATTGCGGATAGTCGTCAAAAACTTGAACAATGGCGTGAAGATTGTTATAAGAAGATTGATTGTTTATTTGAACAAAAATGTCAAGAACTTAATCAACTTATTAATGAAAAAATTGGCCAACAACGAGAAGAACTCAATCGAATACATTTGAAGATAACTGAATTGATCAATGCCCAAGAAACAACTCGTCAAGATATAGATTTATTGACGTCAACTATTCATCAATTCTCAACAAATATGAACAATATTGAACAAACATGTTTTACAATTAATATTCGTTCATTACTAATAGATGACACGCTTGTTTGTATTAAGGAAACGACTGAAAAAGAGCTTGATCTATCAATTCTTTCACCTGTATAAAGAACGATTCATCGCCCTGAGAGAAGTTTTCGATCACTAACTGGCAATGATCGATACTTATTGATACATCAACACCCGAATTTATGTTTATTTGATAGAGAAATAAATATAGTTAAACAAGCATTATGGTCTTACGATCCAATTCAGGACATGTGTTGGTCATCAACATTAGATCGATTCATCGTGCTTGGAAAAAATAATATCTATTTCATCGATGAATATACAATGTCAATTGAAAACGTGCAGAGAATTAAAAAACAAGATTGGGGATCATGTACATGTTCTGATACAGTTCTCTTTGCATGCACAAATGAATGGGGTTCATCTATAATGGAATTCGAACTATTTCCAGCGATCGATATGATTAAAGAATGGAAATATCCTTTTACATGTGCCAAAGATGAAACTATCTGTGATACTGTTTACAACAGCGGAAACCTCGCTCTGATGGTTATGAATAAACTCGAGAAATCACTGCGCATTGAATTGAGATATGGAAAGACGCTCCATCGCATTTGGTTGCTTCAGCTCGATATTAGATGGATCGAAAATATAACATTTCGTTGTTGTTTACTGACTTGTAATGAATGGCTCATTGTTGACTATGAAAATGGACGTCTGATTCAAATTACAAAAGATGGAACAATAAAGAAAACCACAAAATATCATTCGATTCCGTATCGTGCTACTATGTTCGATCGAGATAAGCTAGTAGTATCGACTATGAGTGATGTAAATGTACATCTAATTCAATGAAATGCATCATTGCTTTTGTTTAATGTTTTGCTGTAATTATTCAACAAAGAACTTCAATTAAAAATAACTAACCGCATATTCAGAAAATAATATAATGTAAGATTGATTTGATACTCGAGATTAGTCAAGTTGAAATATTTTTTGATTCTCTTATATTTAAATAAAACATCAAAATTATTTTTTCACTTAAATGTTTGAAATATAGATCTGAGATCATCATGTCAAGAAATCACAATCACCCATACTAAACATCAAAAGTAATCAACATTAAGAAGAAAACTTCTTAGATATAAACTGCTATTATGACTATGTACTAGTAGTTTGTTCTTTTTCTGAACAGTTTAAAACTTTGACAAACATTTTAGAACAAATATATCTGCTATAGAAATAATTAATTGTACCTATCGGGATATTTTTTCAACTGAGACAAATTATTTATAAAGTTGGATGATTGAATGTTAATTTGAAAACTTTTGTTGTTTGAAAAAGGTCTCCAACTAAAGCACATCGTTATCGCTGATATGCTGGACGCATGTGGGAACCTTATTCTAAGAAAAAGTCTAAGAAGATTGGAGATAATGCAGCCTCTTTCAATGCATATGAATATATTCGTTCTTGCACAAAGAGGGAAATTATATCAATAAACTTCGTGTAACTCAT